ATTTCTGCGCACTTAGCAGCAAAAGAAACTCATCTACTGCACTGGACTGCTGTACGGCCAAGGCGGATTTAATTGCAAACATGATGGTTGTTTACCACCCGGAGTCATTTGTTTGAGATGAGCGGCCATAGAAATTGAATGAATGAATAAGCAAATAAATAATGCTGCTGATGCTTTTCTCTTGAGTCCATCCCAACTAATTATGGTCCTTTATTTTTTTAATCTTTTTTAATGTATAGTTGCTGAGTGATGCAGAAGAAATAGCTGCTTTGTACCGTGATCTTAGCAAGTTTCCTTCCCTTTCCCATGCTTGCATTGGGCCTGAGGTAACAACTCAGTACGGTGGCAAACATTGCAACATTTATACAGGTAAGCTCTTCAAAGTTGCACTGATATCACTGGGTATATGTTTGGCTCCTTAGAATTTAGATGTATGTTGTGCAATGTTATTATCAACAATCAGATGTAACATTGGGCCCTCAATCCCATAAACAAAGTAAATCAGGAGATTAAACATAAGCATTAGTTTTTTCTGGCTCTGTGTTTTAGTGGCATCTCACATTCTCCTTTCCCTGATGATCCAAGACGTTAAAAACTTTAAAACAGTAACTGTAAGAGTTTCTATTATAGACAAAAGATGAGAAGGATGGATCTTTACTGACAACTATAATTTCCTTTGTGTTTCCACTATTGGATGATGGTGGACTTTTTTTAGACCACTACACTAAAAAAGGGTCTGTTTTATTAAATAAAGCATAATGGGGTGACATCACACAACATCCTTAGTCAAAACACATATCTTACCAATTGCATTGGGAGGTTCACACAATACATCAAACGTAAGCCAAGGAAATCACCTGATGACTTGGTGCAATGTATGAATCCAATCTTTTTTTTAAAAAAGAACTTTATTAAATTTCAACAAAGAATAAAAGATAGGAAAATAAAAAAGATAGGAAAAAGGAAAGAATCAGAAAAGGAGTGAAGTTTAAAGTACAAGAAAAAAAGTGGGGAAAAAAAGAATAATTTCTGACTTTCTTTGGTACTGGCACAAATATATAATACATTCGCCTTTTGCTCTAATGTTTAAAGTGATACAAAATATATCTAAAAGGATAAAAAATGTAAGTAAAACTAGTGCAAAGTATTTCTGTAACTAAAAAGAACATTGGTCATCAAACTCCAAAATGAAAGTTTAATTTCTTTCAGTTTCAAGCAAAAAGTCCAGAAGCGCTTTCCAAGTAGAAGAAAAGCCAGTCAAGTCTTTTCTTTAATCAAAATTTCTCCATCTCAGCCAATTCCATTAATTTCACTATCCATTCTTCAACTGTAGGTATTTGTAAATCCTTCCATTTCTGTGCATATAAGAGTCTCGCTGCTGTTATCATATAAAGAAATAAAGTCCTGTGTTTTCTTTCAATCTGTTTATCCATCATACCTAAAAGAAAAACTTCTGGTTTCAAATGTACATCCATTTTTAAAATTTTCTGAATCAAAATAGGTATCATCTCACTATTTCTTAGCCTTCATCCAGTGTGAATCCAATCCTGATAGCAGTGATTCTCTGCATTCAGTGGAGAAGGCTTTTTTCTATTGTGCCAGACTAGGCAGAAGCGGAATTCTTTATGTAAAACAAACAATAATAAACCTTCTGTTTACAGAGTGGTCACAGCGGGACTTGGAAAGAGCTGAAAATGTGAAATTCTGCCGTCAGTACCTCATTTTCCATGACAGCGAATCCATTGTCTATTCTGGCCCCTCGGGCAATTGCACTGAAATCAAAGGAGAGTAAGTCTATGCTGTGTTGGCCTCTCCTGTCTGCTGGCCCAAGGAACATGTGGAATATGTTACTTAGATTGGACAGCCATTTATCTGGGATGATCTGAGGATTCCCACCCTGAGCAGGGGTTTGGATTAGAAGATGCCCAGGTCCCTTCCACCATATGATTTTATGATTCTTTATGGGCTTCTCCTGTCCCAGGGAAATAGATCCATCCTCTCGTTTTGCATCATAGATGTGAGTACATGTTGCTAGATTTCTGCGCACTTAGCAGCAAAAGAAACTCCATCTACTGCACTGGAGTAATCCATGTGCTGTGATTCTGTACTTATTTATTTTTATTTAGTATTATATTTTATAAATATATATTTGTTGTGAAGTCACCTCTAATGTAGCTCAGTCTGAGCTGTTTCACCAGTTATTGATTGATATCTGGCTCTCCAGGCACATGCTTTCTGTGTTGCTTTCCCACCTAGGCTGCTCGGTCGGGATTCTCCGAGTGGAACTCAAAAAGCTGTTCTGCGAAAGACAAGCAGTAGCAAAGGCGAGGAAAAACAGTTCCTGGAGGTATGTTGGCCTGCTTCACTCCTTTGTTTCCTGCTCAGTGAGGCTTCATGGTCTTTGGGTTTGCTCAGTAGCAATAAGGGTCCTTCAGTCATTCCACTTTTATCACATTCTTAAATTGCTTCTGTCCAAGGAAGCAATGCTGCAGTGGCTATAACTTGTGGGGCTTTGGTTGATTTTCTTTGCAGGAAAAGGAAACTGGTTGTGTAGGTTTCCCCCGACCTGGAGGGCACCATCAGGGATGCCTCGATTAGTGGCTTCAGCGAGAAGAGGCTCTGTGACTTAAACTGTAGTGTCTCTGCTCCCATAGGTGTGGGAAAAAAACCAGAAGGTGAAGAGCATTGAATTGACAGCTCTAGAGAAGCACGGCCAAGTATATGATGATGGTAAGGCTTCCTTATAACTCTGTTTCAGTTCCTAAGAAGCAAGAGACCAGCTCAGGGTAATGGCAACTTGCAGT